TTTATTTAAACCAAAGAAGTTTACAGTCATTAATGTTAACAATTTATTAAAGAGAAATATAATATTTATTATTAATCAATATTCAAGTTTATTTATTATTGCATCCAAGTTTGTAATTTTATATTTTATTTTTAATATTATAAAAAAAAATTTTTTTTAAAAGAAAAAGCATCTATAGATTTAATTAAAAAAATTTTTAATTAAATTTCTATTTTGTAATTAAACTTTTAAAATTTAATTTACAAAAAATTTATATTATAGTTATTAGATTTTAAGTTTTATTCTAATATCTTCTTTATTGATTTATATATATAGCAGTTTAAATAACAAATAAACAAAAAATTTCAAAAATATTTGTAACACATTATATATTATTTCTCTTAATCAGTATTTCGAAGCAATTTGCTTAAAATTTAAATTTAGCATATGACTTTACAAATTAAGAAATATATCAAAATAATAATAATTATTATTATTATTTTAATTATAATATAATTTTAATTTTAATATATTTTGGAAAAATTTTCATATAACCTTATTCTTTAAATCTATAATTAATTATTTAATTAAATTATAACAAAAAATATAATTCACTTTTATCAATTCTTTTTAAAATAAATTTTATTTATATTACAATAAACTTATATATATTATTTGAAAAAAAAGATAGATATGAACACCGATAGGTCAAACATAAAAAATCTTTTTTTTTGCGAAAAACTTTATTTGGAGAATGGAGATCAAAGCACACTAGCGTGTATCCCTCAATACACAGTGCCGATCATTCTTCATTCTCAATTAAAATGTGTAGGTTCTATTATAGGATGCCTGAAAAAGGTTCCCAAAGATACAATATGCAAATAAATATATCAAATAGATATTTTTTTCAATTAACCAACTTTTGTGTAAGAAAAATTGTTCAGGTTGAGTCAAGTAATTTTAAGTCGCCCGTAGTCCATATAGAAATCATTCCTTGAGGAGTGCCTGTACAACATGACTGACTTTCATATTCTTTAGATCTGTGTAGGTCTGCCCGGTTCCCACAAATAATATAGGTTGCCCTGTCGTGTAGGCCATAGACAAAGCGGCTCCAACCTAACCGATAAAGTATTTATCAGCATTGCAGTTTACATAAACTCGGCACAAAAAGTAAATAGTAATACCTTATCATCAATAGTATCAAATTTTGTCAGTATAATTCCATCTATATGTCTTGGATTCTGCAATCCCGAAAAATCCTTCAAAGCCTGATTAAACTTCGTGAGTTGATCTACCGCTTCATTGCCAACTAAAGCTTCACCGACGAATATTATCTTGTCTGGGTTATTTACTGACACCAACTAATTGGATGCATTAACGGACGTCATTAATAAAATGGCGGTGGAACGAAACCTGACATCAAAATTATGACTACATAATAAGTAATTACTTTTGCCAACGCTCGCATAAGTGGTTCATTATCTTGCATGCGACCGGCTGTGTCGATCAGTACAACGTCGAACTTATTTACTTTACCTATTTCGTTAAATAATTGTACATTAGCTTGTTTACAAGATAACATGATAATCAAGAAAAAGTAGTTACCATAGTTAATCGCGTCCTTTGCGATACCAGCCGCGTCCTTTCCGTAACCACGTTCGTATAACTCAACAGTGGAATTTTGTCCCAATGCGTTCAAATTTCGAACGTGCACCCTTAATTGTTCCACAGCACCTGATCTAAAAGTATCACACGCCGCGATGAGAACTTTTAGACCATTTTGCAGCAACCAAAAACATGTTTTTGATAAATTCGTAGACTTTAACAGTAAAGACATGTATTCACCAATTAGCAATAATACTTTTTTTTTTTCTTAGCGAAAAAGATTAATTGGACTCACCTTTCCCACTCCATTAACCCCTATGAAGCACATAGTATATGGACGTGATTCTGCTTGTGCCTGTGAAATATCTCGCAACAAATCGATTGACGTCTTTGGTGTCAGGATACGTTTTGCAGCTGCTTCCATGGATTGTTTGACAGTTGATTGGATTGCTTTTGTTTGGCAATAGATCGAACAATTAGATTGTTAAAAGCTTCTTGCGTAAATATCATTCTTAGATAACATACTTTTAAAATTTCCT